CTCTTTAGATGATCACAAATTTGTGACCCCACTCAAGCTTTTCTTTTAACAGAAATTTTTATTCTCATAACATTTCATTATCAGCCATATTAAAATAAAATTGAACGGGATTTAATAGGAGTTCACAATATTTACAGTTCAATGACTCGACAAATATTTGAGTGAGTTAAATACATAATAGTGGAGCGTGGTTAAATGTAGAATTTCAATCCCCATGTCTTGTGTTAAAAATCATATTAAAACCATATTTTGTGATTATCCAAAAGTTATATCCCAAACTGCCTCATTCCCATATACAAGATTTCCTACGGCAGAACAAGATTTGTCAAATTAAAAAAAAAAAAAAACTTTCTTTACCGTAATAAATTGTACTGAAAAATTCAAGGTCAATCGAATTCTACGTCTTGTTAAGACGCAACCAATACGCCCTCAAGAGGTTAGTAGCGCGATAAATTATTACGGAAGATAGAGTTATGTCATCTTCTTTGACGGCGTACTACAAAATGCCAAGATAGTACTGCAACGTCAATACGAAGTTAGTATGACGTCAATACAATTTCACATGATGTTTGTACAATACATTTCTGCTAGATGGCTTTCCCGCTCCTCTGTGAAGAGTTAAGCCATCCTGATTTTTCTTTGTCTTCTGATCGCTTGAGAATCATCATCATTGTGATCAGATGCTTCTTTCTCCTGAGCAGACTGCGGTATAAATTAGCCATACGGTCTTTCCACATTATTAAATTGTTTTTGACCAAAAAAAAACCCCGTTATATGGCCATATTTCATGGTGTGCCTATATATGGTCATAATGTGATGTTATCACGTCCATGTCTACACACGCCATATGTTTTTATCAGGCCTTATGCTGGCGTAACTGTTGACACACTTTTTCGGACTGAACTTTTCAGGTTCGGCTATAGAGCATGTGTGTTAAAAATTATTATACGATAAAGAAGAGTCACGTGATACAAATGTTATGTAATGTAGTGGGACTTGATATGGCGCATTATACCGAAGTCTCAATGTGCTTTAAAAGATGATTTTTTTTAAAGCAACCTATTGTAATCAAGATACTATTAATGCGGAGCGAACAGACTGAGCAGATAAACAAAACATCACTGCATCGTTCGCCCGCAATTTAAAGATCATTGAGAAGCAATGATTTGCCGGCACATAATTTACATATGCATGTAAGGCAACTAAAATTTCTAGTCAAGCATTTACAATACTCAAAAAGCAAAAACAAAAAAGTAGAGCACAAGAACGCAAAAAAACCTCAGCCTAAGACTCACCTAGCTCATAAACGCAACCCCCAACCAAAATCCACCATCGAAAAAAATGCTGTTTTATTGGATCAGAAAGTTGTGAATTTTTTATTGCCGTAAACAATAATGAAGAATCAAAATAAACTAGAATTTGAACCTATGAAATTGTATCCGCTAGCATAGATAAAATATTGGTAGGCCTAGTAGTGAATAGACACCAACCCAACTAAAGCTATGATAACTATAAAATATTCTAATTTTATAGTAATATTAATAATATTACTAATAAAACTAATTAGTATTACAATAATAATAACAATAAATAAAATATATATTTTAAAAACAAAACTCATAAAAATAATAATAACAATGATAATAATAATAATAATAATAATAATAATAACAATAATAATAATAATATTTCGTCAACTCAGATTAAGAGAATTTAACAATAAATATTTAATAATAATAAATAATTATAATGATAATAAAATAATTATAATTATATTATCCATATCATTCATTGCACATAATTATGACGCATTATAAAGAACTTATACTAAAACATAACCATAATAGGTCAGTCTACAGCCCAACAAGTCAATCATTATGCTTGTCACATGTAAAGCAAATAAAGGCGGCAAAGTATCCATTTTAATAGAACAAATTCGTATTGAGTGACGGGTTGTTTTTTTTCAAGCCACGTTGCAATTCGTTGTTGTGAAGCCACTCGCTTGAAGTGCCCTTTTAACTTTGAAAGGTTTTTCAGCGCGACGTCTTCGCTAATAGTACCAACTGTGTTCTCCATCACGGCAAATGTGACTAGGTTTGACATCTGAGTGACAAAAATAGAAAAAATGTAATTATCATAAATAGAAAATTGAAAACATTAACGATTATAATAATTATAGATGTATTTATATAAATTTATAATAGCAATATAATATTGTTTGAATGTTTGCATGACGAAGTAATAATAATAATATATTAATGCTTGAGGTACACCCACGTAGATAGTTCTGATAAGAACTTTTGCCTCTCCTCTGCCCTCCTCTATCTTTTTTTATTTTGTTTTTTGTGGTTCTTGTTGAAAGGAATAAAATAAAAATAAAATAAAATAAAATAAACCTGTTGTTGGTTGAGAATGTGACAATCTCAACCAACAAACTGTTCTTTTCACGTGGCGTGGTGTACCGCAAACATTAATATATAGCAACATAATAATCATTATCAGAAAAGCTTTCATCGTTCGTTTACTTATTGCCGTATGAATTACATTCTCTCTTTCAAATTTGTCCCTTTTATGTTCTCTATCTTTTATCCATATTAATATCCTGTTTTTCTTAATAGGCCTACGGCATAACCCTCATAATCGCCTTGCAGAAATGTTTTTCAAAACCTATTTTGTAAAAAAACTGTAAACGTAAGTAATTTCTAGCTTACAATTCTATTTAATTGTAGCCTATAATATGTACCATAAGAAGTGCACACAGTGTGATTGTATTAGATTTGAATTGTCTATATCGACTCTCATATATAAACGCGTCAATAATCTATATGCAAGTCCGGTAAAGCAAGATAATTACTTTTTTGATAAAATAACTGAAGCACTTTAGCATGTGATTGTGTCGATAATTATTGAACTATAATCAATAATAATGCATACAGTATAAGTGTTGATTTATTTACCACGTGTTCAAAATAGGCCTGATCATTTTTCTGTTGTTGTTTAAATAAAGTGTATTTTGTTGTTTTAACTTAATACACAATCTACACAAATGGACAAATAAAAACAGTGCTCAGTTAGAAACAAGATGTTATAATCGTATTAAGTATAGCTCTTCAACTAAAAGTACAATTTTCAGTTGTTTGAAAACAAAGTTTCACTGGCTGGACTCGAACTCTCGCTGTCAAGCCGAATGTCATACCGATTACAAAGAACAGAAACTTATATATATTTATCTATATACATTTCCAATAGCCAAATATATGTATATATATATACTTGCCTGGAAGTTAGAATTCGTGGTTGGAGCTGCGCATGCCTTTAGCAGAGGTCAATCGACGTAAACATGGCGTGTGTATAGTGTTTATGTCGCGTCGATTGACCTTAATATGAGAATGTGCGGTTCTAACTACAAATTGGCTTATTGCACGCTTTACTCAATTTTAAGGTCAAATGTTGCCTGGGTTCTAAGTCCTAATTTTGGATTACTCACTCTTTATTGCGCTTAGTGCGCGTCATGCCTAATTTATTTGGCTTCCCATACTCGATTTCTTATTTTTGAGATTCTGTCTCACAAAATTAACTTGCTCGTTGGCGGCGCTCTCTAGGGACTTGTGGCAAATCTAGGTCAAATGCAGTAATTTTACCATAGAGATATAATAAGAATACTCTATAGCTCTATGAATTTTACAGATACTGATATTGTACTTATGAGGGCGTTTGTATATACTGTATATAGGCCTATGTATTATTTTTCTTTTTAGATAACTGAATTTCTGACGTTTTCGTTTATAATTATAGCAAGGGCTCTCCTTGTTTTTCAGCTGGAGGGCTGAAATGAAAGTTACGATAGCGCACCGTTCGGATGAGACGTTTAAGCCGTTAGTCCCGTGTGCATTATGGCCCGTGTGCACGTTACAAAACGCACTACACTATTCGGAAAAAGGTGTAGGAAGTGGTTTGTCTTTTTCAGACTTTCGTGGGTTATCCTTGGCGTTTACACCGAATAAATCCATCCATCCATGCCTAAAATTTGTGTGGGTCATCCACATGCTTACATAAATAGTAAAAAATGTCAGTTGTACGTCCGTATTAGTCCCTGTTTGTAAGCTTTAAAATATGTAGTTCTCTTGGGATTAACCGCCTTACCGAATTTCCTACGAAGCCATCCTTCCGCTCCATTGTTCTTTATTAAATACTTCTCCAAGTGGCTAAAGAGTTTTGGAACTAAGTTCTCTGTTAAATCACTTAGTAGCTCTTCCTGTAAACGGTAAATAAAACAAATTAATGTTAAAAAAAATACTCAAAATATCATTTAATACCTGATGTTTTGTTGTATATTTTGTAAAACTATTTGTATTTTTAATAAATGTTTATTTGCTTACAAAAGTGGCGTTTGCTTTTTCTAAAGCGAATTTTAAATTTAATTGATTATAACTAATATGATTATTAAATCGTAACTATTTTATATGATCATGACCCAAAAATCAAGTTGATGTTTCTTGTTGCCAATGCGCCAAGTTATGATCAATAAAATCAGTATTAAAATCTACTAAAATAGTAGTAGGCATATATAATATAAATATCTTATCTTTTCTTCCGGTGTTTAAGCGTGAAAGAGTGAAGCAAACATTGGTTTAAATTCCCGAACGGTTTCATTAACAACATTAATAGTAGCAGTTTCCCAGCTGTCTGAGCCATATAAACCTGTATCTATAGTGCAAACATTGTATAACGTTTTTATTTATATATTTAAAAATAATAATATAATATGAGTGTATGGTATACTGTACGATATATATATATATATATATATATATAT